CAAAGTATTGGAGCCTCAGCTTCAGGATCTGTCCTTCCAGTGAGCACTCAGGGCTGATTTCCTTCAGAATGGATAGGTTTGATCTTCTTGCAGGCCATGGGACTCTCAAAAGTCTCCTCCAGCACCATAATTTAAAAGCATCAATTCTTTGGCGATCAGCCTTCTTTATGGTCCAGCTCTCACTTCCATACATCACTACTGGGAAAACCATAGTTTTAACTATACAGACCTTTGTCGGCAAGGTGATGTCTCTGCTTTTTTAAGATGCTGTCCAGGTTTGTCATCACTTTTCTCCCAAGAAGCAGGCGTCTTTTAATTTCGTGACTGCTGTCACCATCTGCAGTGATCATGGAACCCAAGAAAGTAAAATCTCTCACTGCCTCCATTTCTTCCCCTTCTATTTGGCAGGAGCTTTGCAAACTACAGTTCCTTAAATTATTGTGGAAAGGAGTCTTGTAAATGTATGATGTATATGAAACCATACATTCCTTCCTTGATTCAGAGGTTTGCTCAGAATTTCCAATAGCTGGGAGGCTTCTAACCATATCTATCCGAACCTGATTGGAACCACCCTTCAGGCATTCATGCTAAATGTGTGATAACTGGAAGCTGAGCAAGTGAGTGTGGGGTGTTTGGGGCAGGTTATGTGTGGCCAACCCTCCTCACTTTAAGGCAACATGTATTCTTTTGAAAGTCTGAAGAGAGTTAGTGCATTGTCCAGGGTTAGTGCATCACATAAAGAGTTTAGCTACATCCGTCACAGGGAAAATAAAATACAGCAAAAGTGAGCACAGTGTTGCTTTTTACCTGGAAGGATGAAGGAAAATACAGTTTCAGTAATGTGAAAGGCCTGTGCTTGGAGTGCCATTTGAAGGGGGTGGGGTGGGAAATTGAAGCAAAAGAAGTGTAAAAGTAATCTACCTTAAGATACAGAGTATAGAATGGCATTTGTAGCCTGAGCACAGCACTGTTCTGAATGATCAGTTGCTTGTGATTTAATGGATATTTGAGGAGCAAGAGAAGAGATTGAACAGAAGAGAAGGCAGCCTTTTAACCAATACTGTATCGAGGAGTGCATAAAGTCATGTCAGTTGTTCTGGTTTGTTCCAAAATGTCAAATGGTATAAATACACGTTTAAGCAGAAGCTCAGCAGCAACCTACTTCTCATAGAATCATAGAATTGTAGAGTCATCTAGTTCAACCTGAAGCAATGCAGAAACCACTGCTTAACAATCTCTCTAGATGGCCATGCAACTTCTGTTTAAAAACCTCCAATGAAGGAGATTCCACCATCATCTGAGTCCATTCCACAGCTGAACAGCTGTTACCATCAGAAAGTTCTTTCTAATGTTTAGAAGGAATCTCTTTTGTTTCCATTTTAATCCATTGTTTAGGGTCCAGCCCTCTGGAGCAGCAGAAAACAAGCTTGCTCCATCTTCCATTTGATGGCCCTTCAGATATTTGAAGTTGGGTGTCATATCACCTCTCAGTCTTCTGTTCTCCAGGGTAAACATACCCAACTCCCTCAACTGTTCCTCATAAAGCTTGGTTTCCAGACCCTTAATCATATTGGTTGTCCTCTGCACAATTCCAGTTTGTCAAAAAAAAAAACTTTGCCCAGAACTGGACATGGTACTCCAAGTGAAGTCTGACCAAGGCAGAATAGAGTGGTAGTATTACTTCCCTTATAACTGCATTGATGCAGCCTAGAATTGCATTAGCTCTTTTGTTGTTGCTGCATCACGCTGTTGACTCATGCTAAGCTTGTGGTATACTAAGGCTTCACAATGGACTTTGTTAACACGTGCCTGACCTCTATTACAGACAGTGCCATCTCTATCATGGATAAGGTACTGCATATGACCCCCAAAGTGAACAAGAGCGAATGATGCCATACAAAGGGTATTTTCCTTCTCTTATAACTGAAACTCTGGGTAAAACATTTCCTCCAACTTGTTTGAAATTTGACAGAGTACCAGGAGGTAGCTGAACTTGCTTTGCAAGCTGAATCAGACCTGTGGGTCACCAGCTGACATCTCTGAGTCACCCTGCATCCCACAATGACAAATTGTTCAGCCTCTATTTAATATGAGAAACATGTATGCAATATCTTGCCTTATGTTCACCTGGGAATGACCCTGTACCAGGTTGCATGCCTTCCCTTTCTGGGCATCTGGGTCAATGGACACAACATGCTGAGGGCTGTGGAATTCTTATAAATCATTTTGTTTCATTCCTCCTGTTGCTTGATCAACATCCACTTGTGGGATAGGTTGTTGTGTGAATGCAGGGTGCACTCTCATACTTGGGTATGTGCCTGTAGGATTTTGTGTCTTCAATGGAATTGTGGGTCAAAAAGATGCCATCAGGTATCCCATTAGCACCCTTCTCCAACTTGATGCTCCCCAGACTACAACTCCCATCAGCCCTTGACACTGACCATATTGGTAGGAACTGATTGGAGTTGTAGTCTAGAAGATCTGGAAGAAAGCTGTCCAATACTAAGCACACAAAACGCAGCATATGTTGGATATGTGCTAATCTGGCATACTTTGCTTCTCTTTCCTTAGCAAGGCTCAATCTGTTGGGGGGGTGTATTTAAAAATGCTATCATTTATCAGCTATCTGAATTCTAAAATTATACAGAGACATATGGTATACTTAAACAAAATAGGTTGTTGAACTGTGTCCTACTAAATGCAACAGTCCTGTAGGCTTTTACATTAAGGCTGAAATCCTAATCACACCTCCTAAGCAGTTTGTCCCATTCAACCCTGTGGGATTTACTTCTGAGGTAACAAGCTTAGCCTAGGCTGTCAGTCACAAATTGTATTTTACTTACCATAAAATTCGGTTATTTTAACTTGACCCAGATACTACAGCTAGATCTGTATTCTTTGCTTCACGATTTATACATCTGCATTTTTAAAACCCTTTGACTAAATTTGTCATGCACTTCTAATCATCATATATAAAATTCCATATTGCAAGGACTGTTATACTAGAAGAACATTGCCTTGCCTCCTGGCCCAGTGCTGAAGAATTGTTAATCAATTATAGACTCAGAAGGCAGAGCAATTTCCCCCCAAATCCACACTAGTCTCTTCTTGGACGGGATGATGCTCACATTGAAGAATTCACATTTGAGCCAGAGAAGAGAATCAACCACAAAAACTGTTCTGGGTAAGTTGCAAGGTTGTGCTGCTGCTGCTGCTGGTGGTGGTGTGTGTGTGTGTGTGTATGAGAGAGAGAGAGAGAGAGAGAGATGGGGGGGGAGAGAGTGCAATATGGCAAACATCACCTCCTCCTTTTCTGTTGGTGTGAGTCTTCATGGGATCAAAAGTCCTTCCTTTTGACTCCTCATTCCATTCCATTATTGTCCAGGCTTTGAGTGTCTGAAGGAAAAGGTAGTCAATACCCACTTTTCAATAATAAATCCTCTCTTCCTCTCTTTGAAAAAAATTAAAATGTAAAACACCATTCAGTATTTCCCTTTGGAAAAGTCTTTTTTCCTACTGTGCTCTGTGAATCTCCTTCTTGCACATGTATGGTCGCATTGCTAAGTTAACAACCTCGTGGCCTTTCTCAGTGACTTGCTTTTTGAAGCAGGAGTTCAATCTTCGGCATCAATTCAGATGTCTCCCGGCATGCTGGATTTCCCCCCCTCTCCCCCAGAACTTACTTTCAGTCTTTTTTTTTTCTTCAAAAAAGAGAGAAAAAGATCTTTCCAAATGTGAAGTTTTAAAGGGACACATGCCACAGAGGTCTCTCCCAGTCGCTGCGTTGTAAGAGTGTGAAGTCTAGCATGAAATGTCAAAGAAAATGGCATTCATCTTTCTCTCGACATATTTGGCCCTACAGTCACCCTGGAGGCGAGGAGGGGAAACTTTGCCATGTCTTGTTACATGGTGTCTTGGCACCGAAGCTATTACTGTAATGGCACCAAAAGGCAAGTTCAAGAATCTCATTGGTCGCATTGATTACTTTAGTAGTTTGGAATCCCAACCATCAGTTATCAAAAACAACTGAGCTGCAAACTCCTCCCAGAGAACACTGCCATGAAGCAAAATGTATGAGTGCCTTGTCAAGAAGAGAATATTTGGAGGGGGAGGGAGAGAGACAGTAACTCAGAAATGTAGTTCCTTTAAAAAAAGAGAAAAAAGCCATCTCACTCAAAGTCTGACTGTTGCCCCTGAGTGAACTTCAACTTGCCATTTTAGGTTTGCACAAAATTCAAATCATCTGCTCATTAGAAATGCAAAGGACCTTATGTGATAAATGTCAAAAGCTTCAACCATTTTCACTTTGTCTTTTGTAATTGCATTATATGTATATCCCTATCAACACAAGTAAGTTTATTCAGGAATATTAAGTATCAGATACCAGGTCTTATTGGGGCAGAATCTAGGAATGATAGACACTCTGGTGGTTCTACCCTATTCTAAACAATAACAGTAACAATGATGATGATAATGTACTGCAGTGGTACCTCGAGTTACAAATGCCTCAGATTACAAATGCTTCAGGTTACAAACTCCGCTAACCTGGAAGAGTTACCTCGAGTTGAGAACTTTGCCCCAGGATGAGAACGGAAATCGTGTGCCGGCGGCGCAGAGGCAGCAAGAGGCCCCATTAGCGAAAGTGCACCTCTAGTTAAGAACAGTTTCAGGTTAAGAACAGACCTCTGGAACGAATTAAGTTCATAACTACAGGAACCACTGTATTTATATGCTACCCCATCTACTCTATTCTATCCCTGCCCTAGGTCCTTTACTAACACTCTTCCTTCACCAGCCTGCATTCTTTACTTACTTACATATCTGAAGATCGCAGGGGGCTTCACAACATAAAAATACAAAATGAGAACACAAAGTACATAATAAGAGCAAAAACAAAACAAATAACCTGTCAGGGACTGGGCAGAGGAGGAATGGTAGAGACCACCTCCCCAACCTGACCCCTCCAGGGAGGAGGAAGAGGAAGACAGTTTAGATTTACAACAGTGGTTTGAAGGAGGTCACAGCTCAAAGGCAGATGAGGGGGAAAGTTGGGAAATAATAGGAGAGGAGGAGGCAGGACTGGAACAGCAGCTGGCTGACATGGTGTCTTTAGAAAGCATTCCAGACCCCCCCCCATCTCCCAGAACCCGGCGAGCCTTAAAAGTAGGAAAGCAAAGAGCTCAAAGACAGAGGGCACGTAGCAGCACCCACAGAAGTGACGAATGAGGAAATAGGAGAGACGGTGTGTGTGTGTGTGTGGATATTCACTTGAGACAATGCCAGTATCCAAGAGGTTGGGTTCTATAGCCTTTCTCTGTAATATTGAAATAAAAAAGATGGTAAGAAACTTTTCCTTGTCTTTATACTTTCCTGGACAACCAGCTGGGAGCCGCTGACAGCATCCTAACATAACCCTTTCCCATAAACACATTTAATAGGACATAGAATGTTATTCAGCCAAAGACCTAGCTAAAGAGAAACATTTTCGCCTTGCACCTAAAGGTGCTAGGTGAGCCTCCCTGGGGAGAGCATTCCACAAACAGGAAGCCACTGCAAAAAAAGGCCCGTTCTTGTGTTGCCACTCTAGATCTCTCATGGAGAAGGCACGTGAAGAAGTGCCTCAGATGACAATTGAAGGTTCTGGGTCAGTTCATCTGGGGAGAAGCGGTCCTTGAGGTATTGCAGTATTGATCTGTTTAAGGCTTTATAGGACAGAACCAGCAGTTTGAATTAGGCCCAGAAAATAATTGGCAGCCAGTGCAGTTGGGCCAGGAATGATACAAAGCAAGGATGAGGTCCTCCAGGACTCACAGTCAATGTGGTCTTCAGCCTCCTCAGCAACCTCAGCTTTTGTAGCTAGAGTGAGTCAGGGTGCTGTGCTTCCAGATGGAAAAGGACTGCAGGTCCTCCAGGACTCTCAGCCACGATGGTCTTCCCAGTTCTTTGGGAACCACTCTGAGAACTATAGCTCATGAAGGGAATAGAGAGCAACTCTTAACACTCTTAACAAACTACAGTTCCCAGAATTATTTGCCGGAAGCCATGTCTGTTCAAAGGGCTATCATACTGCTTTAAAAATGTATGGCGTGTCTGTGGCCTTAAAACCTTGCTTTGTTTGGGTCTTCCATTTGTTTGAGGATTCTGAGACATCTATTTAGAGAAGAGCAAGTTCCAGACCATGTTCAGTCTTCTATGTAATAAAGAAAACTTTAACATTTAATAAACATTTGACAAGTATCAGTCTAACTCCCCCAAGGTTTGTATGGCAAGGTAAGGCAACTCTCTCAGGCTTGAACTAAAAGACCTTTGTGCAACGTGGCATCCAGAGAGCATTTTATGAGAGGCTATAAACTAATACCCTTCAATAATCTAACCTTGGAGGTCACAAAAGCTTGGAATATAGTTATCAGCATCAATCTGTGAAAGCCCTGGATAAGTTCTGGTAGATGAATTCTCATGTAGGCGAAAAAATGAAGTTCCAGTGACAGGCCAAATATAAAAGTCAGAAGACAGAGCGGCGTCTCGGGTGACCTTATAATGGATAGTGATAGAAAAGATCTGGTCCCTATTAACAGGCAGATTGGAGGGGACATCTACTGCAGTTTAAAGAGGTCGAAGCTAAAAGGGTAGAAATGTCCTTCATTTTCTCTATACTGCAATTCTAAGGCTGGATCTAAGCATGTTGCTGAACGAGGAGGTGGAATCCTGAGAAGTGGGATGTACAATTTCAGGCTTCTGCTGGGCAATAGAAGTGCATGTGGTGAGGCAGGTCTGTGGAGCCACCCCCAGGAATAGCATCGCCACTGCTGACCTGGGCAGGGCTGGGGTGGCGGCGGCAAGATTAGGATAGCAGAGTTGCATTGGCAAGGACAGCCACTGCCAATCTGGTGCCCCCTCCCCCACAGGCTTGCCTGCATGGTCTTATCCTTGCCACTGCCCTGCCCCATCCTTGTTTGATGCCAGTGATGCCAGTATCAGGACAGGTCCACAAATCTGCCCCACCTCACATGCCACTTCTGCAGGGAGTAATTTTTTTTTTCTGATTCCTTTCACATCCCCTCATCCCCTGCAGTGAACAGAAGACCAGAATAGCAAGGATTTTAAGCTTATCCTTTCGAAAAAGGAGAACAGATGAAAGGGAGCCCCTTGACTCCTTTCCTTTTCCTTTTCCTTTCACCAGAGAAGTGAACTTGCTGTGTGGTTGTTGTTTTGTCCATGCTGGGCTCTCTACACTTTAGCATTCAATTATTTGGCTTGTATCTAACCAAGTTCTATTCAGGGCGCACCCATTGAAATTAAGGGAGATAAGTACGTAATAACTAAGGGAGCTAAATAAGCCATGTCCATTATTTTCAGGGGTCCTACTATGAAAAGGGACGCGGGTGGCACTGTGGGTTAAACCACAGAGCCTAGGACTTGCTGATCAGAAGGTCGGTGGTTTGAATCTCCGCGATGGGGTGAACTCCCATTGTTCGGTCCCTGCTCCTGCCAACCTAGCAGTTCGAAAGCACATCAAAGTGCAAGTAGATAAATAGATACCGCTCCGGCGGGAAGGTAAACGCCGTTTCCGTGTGCTGCTCTGGTTCGCCAGAAGTGGCTTAGTCATGCTGACCCGGAAGCTGTACGCCGGCTCCCCCGGCCAATAAAGCGAGATGAACGCCACAACCCCAGAGTCGGTCACGACTGGACCTAATAGTCAGGGGTCCCTTTAGCTTTACCTTACTATGAAAAGGGTGCGTGCGATTCCTTCTTCATAAAATGTTCTGTTCCAAAAGTGGGAAAACCAAACATGTGAAGCCTCTGTGTGATGAATTCTCCCCCTTCCCATGGCCATTCTCAGCAGCATTAACAGAAGGTAAGCTAGGGTTTAATAGAACCTATTTTGCAGAGCAAATGGCATCAATGGGAATTCAAATCAGTGTCTGCATTCCGAGAATGTTTAACTGCTGATGTGTCATGCAATGCACATAAGAGGAAAGACACAGCAGCAAGGATGGGAATGTGTGGCCCTCCAGAAGTTGTTAGACTGCAACTCCCTTCCCTCCTGCCTAATGGCCATGCTGGCTGGACCAATGGGAGTTAGAGAGTTGCTTCTCCCCTGTATCACTGGATATGTAATTGCAATATGCCATTGGACTTGCAGTCACAAGATTCATGTGTACAAAACTTGATGATGTACAAGGAAGAGAGCCTCACACAATGCTATTATTTTGTAATAAAATAAAATAAAATAAAAATCCCGACCTACCATTTTCATTTTGCAAATTCTTTCGATAAAACTGATTTTTAAAAAATTCCTTAGAAAATTAACAGTGCATCAAAATAAAGTTTTTATTAACCCCATGGTGTGTTCATTACTAGCCCCCTTGCAATTTCTGAAGGAGCCCGGGAGCCTGAGCAAAATGTCTCATTTGCATTTTGCATACCTAACAAAAGCAGACTACGCGATTGAAATTATGACTAATTCCAATACAGTGAAGTTATATATTAAAAATTGATCACCTCATTATTTCTTCTGTAATGGTCTCATTACATTTGATTTTTTGGTTTGTGTGCCTGATTTCCCTCCCTCAGTCAAAGTAATGTGCGCAAGAGTTAGATCATTAATTTTTATATCCTCTTTTGTTTCTGCCTGGCACTTCACACAAAACACATTGACTACTCATGATGACACATTAAAAGCTCTTTCATTATAAGCTGTATTTATCTCTGAGTAAAATGAGGTTGCTTTTGATAAGCATGCGTGGCTATATAAAAAGGGGGAACGTTTTAATGCACCCTATACACTTCCGCAGGAACGAGAGGTGTGATTTTCTCAGTGTCTATTTTATGGCAAATTAAATACTAGTAAAATATCAGTTTTAAAAAATGATGATGATACATTTTTGTTAAGTAAACTTGTCTATTCGTCTGAGTTTTTTCATCATTTCCAGGTTATTGCATCCCGTCTAAGTGCAATTCAGAAAGAACAATTTCCTGTCCGTGTTGGTAGTTTGGGGTTTTCTTGGTATGTCGTCTTATAGGCCAGGATGAAAAGGGCTTGGGCATGCTCAGAGATATTTTTGATTTTTGTCCTTTGAAAACCTGACACATCTATATATATAGCTTACATTGGGCAGTATCCAAGTAAGCAGTTCAGTTAGCAGATGGAACTTCACTGCCCTCTCTTCTCAGCATGTGACCCTTAAAGCTCTTCAGGGGTTTTCCCCTCCAACCCTCCAGAGCAGAGTAACACTGAATCAAACTAAGATACTAAAATTGCTTGGCAAAACAAAAGCAGGCAAGACAATATCAAAGCTACAGGTGCCCATCTGATTTCAATAGGAACAGTGTTCCAAAAATACCAGTGCTGCTATGCCAAAAAGCCTTATTATTATTTTCCTGCCTCCTTTGAGTACGTTCTGCCCTCATCTCATATACCTCTGATCATTTTGATAGTCTGCTGGAGTTGCCTGCAAAACTGTGCTTTTGCTTTTTCAGCTCCCTTTATTCTTCAAATCCAAATTAATCCCTCGGAATTTTCTTTATTATCTCTGCTTCTCCTAGCTCATGCTCTCCTTAGGTTCTGTTCCCTCACTGTGTGCTCTGATGATGAAATAAAATTTTAGAGAGTCACACTTCATGCAGAGGAAGACTGCACAAGATCAATGTGATTATTTCACTCCTTCCATTGTCTTATGTTTTCTAACCTCTCTAACTCTCCCTGCCTCTCTGGCTCCCCACCTGCCTAGCAATCTACTGAAAAGAATCCAGCATAGAAGAGTACTTAAAACACGTGAGTTCCACCATCATATTATAGGGAGACCTACTGTGTCTCTTAGGGGGAAAAAACCTAGTTTTTAATATGAGTATGAATGTCTGAAGCTTGGTGCCTCCTATGGTAATGGAGCCACTTCCATGTGATTTAGAACCCTGCAAGAGCAGGGTTGAAGATCAGGGTTCTCAATCACATAGAAACTTTCACAGATACAGGAGGCTTTACGCTTCAGAAATTCACCCTCCAACCTGTGAAAAGACAAGGAGTACAGGGGTGGTGGAGCTTGTCTATCGCTTCTATAGATGCCTCCTCCCCTTGTTTGTCTGTTGCTTCTGTAGATGCCTGAAGAGAACTTCTGTAAGGCTGCATCCAGCTCTACATAATGAGTGATCTACACAGCGCTGGAACAAGATATTTTGATATTTGGATTTTGCCCCATTCACCCACATCCTCTGGCACAGAGCAGGGGTGGGGAGCAATTTGATTCAGTTTGTATTTTAAGGTGGGTCTGCCTAATTTGGACTTTGTAAAACAATACACAAATTGAAATGCAACCATCCTTTGAAATCTTCTCTGAATTTTGCAATGTGATTCTTGGCATTGGGAAAGAGTGTTTTGCAAAAGTAAGTGTATTAGGCAAAATTGCATTCACATACCTGTTGACTAGGAGAAATTCACACTAAAATGCTGGTGAATATTCATGAAGACTTTTCATTTTTAAGTCACAAACTGATACAGAAATGTGGAGAAGAGAACTTAAGACGGGGAAAACAAGAAACCAAATGAAGTGGAAACTGACAGATCTGCCCATACCTATTATGGATTGGGGGTCGGAAGGGCTGTGTTCCACCTTTGGGTTTTTCCTGCTCTCAGCCCCCCTGTTCTCTTCACACAATTGGAACATTGGAGTTCTGCCATGAATTATCAGCCAGTAAAAAGCAACGAAAGACCAGAAGGCCAGGCAACTGATGCCTGCAACAAAAAGCTTTGTCAAAGGAGAGCAAAAGGAGGTCACTTCTGCCTCTTCTTTCAGAAGACCAGCAATGATGGAAAGAAAAGATGCCTGTAAGTGGGGTCAATTATTCAAGTCTTTGAAAATGACATATCATTTTGTTCAAGCTTTATACTGAACATTTAAAGGGTAAAGCAAACATGACCACAAGCTGTCAGCACACATGTGCAAGTGTTTGTGTGAAAGAGGGTACTTGTTGTTTTGTATATCTTAACTTTTCTGTACACGGACTGTACACTTGTTGAATGTTACACATGAATCACTGTACAGGCCAATTATTGTAGACACAGGCACAAAGACTGTACACACCCCTCTTCTTAAAGCAATATCCACGACACTTTTGAGGCTCAGTCCCTAGGCTGAAAGCTGTTGGTGTGCCTAGCCCACAAAAGGATTGGGAAGAAGCAGGTTCAACAAAAAGTCTTGAGCAGAGAGTAAAAGTAGCTTATAAAAATTCAGTAGCTGTACCTAGCTCAGTATTGAGGATGATAGACTGGGGAACAAGGAAAATCACAGTCAGGTACTTCAGTACCTAGACAAATCCCGGACAAATTGCTTTGTTCCGATGGATTACTAGATTCAACTATCTTTCCTGCATCTGAGTATTCTAAGGTTCTGATCCTTCACTGAAATGGGAAGAGTCTAAAAGGACCCATCATTATCCTCTGGCCTTGAGCCATCACTCCATTGCTTTTCTCTTAATTTGTATCAATACCAGTGTTTGCGTTGTCAAACATGCACTGGGGAGTATTAGGGCTTTTGGTGGTGAGAGTGTCTGCTATTTGGGGAATCTGGCTTAGGGCTGATGTCACTGGAGAGGCGATGTTCCTCTCCTCCAGCAGCTTAATCTTATTCTAATCAATCTTGGGAATGTTGCTGAAATAGGGAGAACAAATGGGCCTACAAGAAAATGTTGGTGTGCAGAATGCTCTTCTTCAATGTTCCAGACAACCAGCCATGCCTTCATTCCACAATAATGCACACCATCTTGCATCAGTTTTCCAATTCCCACACCCAATGGTGCAAACCCTCCGAGTTTCCCTATTTTCCAGGGACAGTCCTAGATTCACAGAAGCCATCCCAGTTTATGATTTGATCCTGGAATGTCCCAGTTATCCTTAGGACATAACTATTTTCACCAGAGAAACACTGGAGGGTACGGAGTTATGCAAGCCCTTCCCCCCCAAGCCAAAGAGATAAGTATCTACACAACCTTTAGAAGACATCTAAAAGCAGCCCTGTATAGGGAAGTTTGTTTAATGTTTCAGTATGTTTTAGTATATGCTGGAAGCCACCCAGGGTGTTTGGGGCAACCCAGTCAGATGTGTGGGGTATAAATAAAATAAAATAACACCCCTATTTTTATCATGTTTGAGGGTATGACAGTGTCAATATTTCATGCCCAATGAGAACATTGGCCCCACCGAGCTGTTCCTCACTCTCAATTGTAGGGCTTTTTTCTAAACATTTTTTTAAAAAAATAGGAAATTTTGCAAACAAATGCTGATACCTTCCTCTTGTTTATGAGTAGTGTCATTTTGGGCTACATATAGAGTCAGTTGGAGAACAAAGTTCACCGTTGGTGCGCATATGATTTTGAGACTTCCAGTGGAAATCACTGCTCTAATATATTATTTGTGTGACACCTCCGCTGACTGGCTTGCAAACAGCACCAAGAGATACAATTACTCTGGCAGGAGGAGAGAATTGTACATGCATAGCCACCCACGATGGGATGAAGGGGCAAACAAAAATTGATAGGAGGGATTTATAGCTAAAATAATGCTAGCCTCATTACCGTACTGTAAGTGCCGAGGATGATACTGACGTTGTATAATTACAAACAATAATAATAAGTCCTGAGATACCAGTGAGCTGTGACGCCTATTCTCCCTCGCCACCTCTGAGCTGGCAATTGCTTCCACTAGCGATGCTGAAGTGGCAGAACAATTACTTGCTGTTTCAGAACTGTTAGGTGAAATAGTTGATGGGCTTCATCGGGTGGAAAATGCTGTCTGTGGGAATATATAAATATTAATAAATTTAACACATTGCTTTAAAGTATGCTGCAGGTTTTG